GAATATGAAGATGGGTTCAGTTTTTTTCGCATCGAAGTATTTCAGTTACACACCTCTGTTTCATACGCACGATGCAGTTTCGAAAAGAAAAAGAAACGAAGAAAATGATTATTGGTAGAAACATTTCTCTTCTATTGTCATATCACCAACACAAGCCTCTAATTTTGGGATTCAAGTGCGAGCGTGCAGGGTTCAAACTCCCGCATAGTTCATTGCATTCATTTTCGCATAAATGTTGTTGGGAAATATATGAAGTCATTTTTTCAGTTAAGTATACATTAAATAAATTGGCTGACTAGGCCCGAAGCCTTGGTTGGCATCTGGTTTAGGGGAAGAATAATTGTTCCAAACTGGAGACAAGGCAGTAGGAAAATACTATTTTTCTAAAGATTCTTTTTTAGTACAGATTAAAGAAAAGGAACTACTGAAGTGCCATAGCATTAAAAATTTGTAAAATCAACTGAACTGAAACACTTGATCTGTGTGTGCGCTTTATATATATATATATATATATATATATATATATATATATATATAAAGAAAGAACAGTGAGATATATAATCCGGTGTTCTTATTGATATTTTTATAAAACAGTGCTCAATGTAACTTTACAGAGCATAAATATTATAAATTAACTGATTGAAAATATGTTTTTTCATATTTTCAATCAGTTAATATATATATATATATATATATATATATATATATATATAAAATAGTGCACTAATCAATTTCAAAGTGCACATGTCTGCAAAGGTAGAGAGCTAGTCTCTGTTGAAGACACCTGTTCGACACTAACAGATCATTTGTAATTCATCCTATAACTTTGCTATTCCGTCTAGCAAATTTCACCCACGTGGTATGATTTCCAGTCATTTTCCAAAGGTGTCTCACGTTGAGATCTTCTCAGAATTATAACATCAAAAAGTCAAATGACAAATTGACGATGGTGAGATTAGAACTCGGAACTCGAATCACATTCGGCAACGCGCGCGCACACACACAAACACACATTTTAATTAATTAATTTTTTTTTAAGCGTTTCACCGAAAGCAAGGCGGGAAGCCACTAGAACGCAAGGAGAGTTGGAGCTAGAGCAAATAGGAATGATAGAGGAAAGGCAGAAGAGAAGGATAGGGGATAGATCAGGGCATCTGGAGAGGTCGATTGACATTACATTTGAATAGTTGGAGATTATAGCTATCAGGTAAACAGGAATCCGGGAGGGAGTTCCACAGGTGATTGGTGCGAGACATGAAGCTATTGGAGTAGAAGAGACGGCTAGTAGTACGCTTAAATTAATGAAGTCTGGGAACCAACGAAAGTAGCTCATCGGAGCAGTGACCATGAAAGTATTTGTAAAAAAAGACAGAAGGAGGCGACGGCACGTCTGTGAGAGAGCGACTGCGGACGAGATACCAAATCAGGGCCAATTACGTTGCATATCCGTCTCTGGATCTTATCAAGAACCTTGAGATAAACATTAGGGGCACCAGACCATATATGGCAGCAAAACTCCATGCAGGGGCGAATGGTTGATTAGTAGAATTTGAAGGATCGATTCCTGCGAGAAAAATTTCCTGGCGCGGCACAGGGAGCCAACTTTTCTTGCGGTGGACGAAGCTATTGACTCAATGTATTTGTTCCATCTCAGGTTAGCAGTCAATGTGAGGCCGAGTAGTCGCAAAGAGGAGCTCTCGACAAGTTGAGCGTCAGGCATTCTAATGGTGGGCAGGGATGGTTCTCTGTGGTGAGTAATAGAGAACAGTTTTGTTTTTGAGGCGTTAAAGTTAACCAGACAATTCCTGCCCCAGTTCACAACCGATTGGAGGTCCTTTACGAGACGAACGGCCAGGTTAGTTTTGTCAAAAACACTAGATTTCTTTTTGAGACAGGAGTAAATTGTAGTGTCGCCCGCGTAGATGCCTACTTGGGAATCTATGTCATCAGGAAGATCGTTAATGAAGATAAGGAACATAGTAGGGGCTAGGATAGAGCCTTGGGGGACACCTGCGTTCGTGGGATAGGAGCTGGAGGAGAATCCGTTGAGACGACCTTCAGTACACGGTTTGACAGAAATGATTGTATTAAGTCAAACAATCGACCTGAAATTCCATAACCCTGAAACTTGCGAAGAAGGCCGGCATGCCAAACCTTATCAAACGCTTTGGAGATATCAAGAGCCATGGCACGATCTTCTCCGTTATTATGAAGAGTCTAGTAAACAATTTCAGTGATGGCCGTTATTATGAAGAGTTTGGTAAACGAGCAAAGCGGAAACCATATTGCTTGTCGGAGAGCAGATCATGCGATGTAAGGTGCTTAACCACTTCGGCGTTGATTAAAGCTTCGAAGACGTTGCCGAAGAGAGGTAGGAAACTGATAGGACGGTAATTAGAAGGGTCAGAAGGGTCACCAGAGTTCTTAAAGACAGGAACTTCTAACAATCTTAAGATTTATTGAGGCAGTAGTTATATAATTTGGAGAGGGTAGGGGCCAGTTCAGATGCATATTTTTTCAGGACAATATATATATATATATATATATATATATATATATATACATACAGAAAAGAAAAAAATCGTTTTTAACGAAACCTTATATATGTATATATAAGGTTTCGTTAAAAACGATTTTTTTCTTTTCTGGACATAAATTATGATGAGATTGTCCGAATGTTCTGTATGTCCTATCGCTTTCGACTATACTTTAGCCATTATCAAGGATGTTTTGATTTTTACTTTTAAATGAATGTATGGATTTTTATGTATATATCTAGAATTATAGGAATGTTTTATTTTCCAAACACAATCGGCACATTGTGGCCGTGTTCATAATTGATATTATTGAGTGGTGCCTGTTTCTTTTTTTATTTTTTTATTAATACTACCTCTTAATTGCTGGTATTACCTGTTAGGGTCCCAGCTATAGTCAAATAGTTAACCCCCAAACTAGGGTCATAACTCTATGAAAGTGTATAAATAGATTTTAATACCAGAAATAATTAGAAAAAAAATATTGCTAGCTATATATTTTTGAAGAAAAAATATTACCAAAAATAGATTTATGAAGGAAAAAAAGATATTACCAGCAACAAAAATTTTGTTGGCAATAAATAACCCATTCAGGTTTATATGCCGTAAAATAAAACAAACCAAACCAAACTTTAGTCCGATGAATTCCTTCGAAAGTACGAAATGCGTTACATACAATTTTTCCACTTTGTCATTATATATATATAATGCTCCAGGGGGGGGGGGCACAGTCCTATCGTTACAGAGAACTCAGTTGAGTTCCGCCACGGAATATGTGAGCGAGCGGCGCTAAGTTGAGTCTGATTTGGAATCTCTTCGTCACCGAGACCCATTTGGAACAGTTGGTATGAGGTTCGCTTGACAACCTAACTGTCAGGGTTTCAATTCTCGGTAGTGGATGCGCACAGCTGATGAGTCCCAAATTTATGCATTCTGTTGAGGTTTCTATCAGACTCGATGAATTAATTAAATATATATATATATGTGTGTCCTGTGTGTGTCAAATTTTCCAAGCCGTCTTTCCACATTATTTGCCTAAGAAATTTCAACTGTTTCTTTCTGATGCTACGTATGTGTCCTTTTTGTTTCCGTTTACTCTAAAACTTAATTTCTTACATGTTCCTTCCATGTTTTTCTTAACATCCTTCTGTAGAACCACATTTCTTCTGCATCTGTGATGAGACTGTACAACATTCATTGTCATATAGGATTATCGATATTATATAACAGTTTAGTACTGTTTTGTTTCTTTCTAACGAGGTTTACCTGTTTCTTAATACTTTGCTTAACTTTTGGAAGGCATCTTTTGCGGATCTCAATGCACTTTCGGATTTTGGTGTCGTATTTTTCATCCTCTGTTAAAACACTTCCTAGGTATTTAAATTTTTACGCTTGTTATATTTTGGTATTTCCAATTTATAATTTTCATATTGAGCTGTTTTGCTGACAACCATAAATTTTGTCTTTTTACCCTTGATGTTTCGTCCTTATAAAACAATTCATAAAAATATTGTAGCAAAGAGAAAGACTGCAAATATTATGCAAGAGTGGTTTATCAGTTCTTTGTTTACTCATTCTGATTTCTATCATTGAGAATAGACTAGGCTGCACTAGAGATAGTTTCGCATAACACCGCAAATTGTTACAGAACCAAAACTGAATACTTGGACCATGTTCAGATCGAGATTTTCATATGGGTGTCAAACATGGAGCCAAACCTGTTCAGAAATATTTAATATACAACTGCTTTCTGATATCAATGGTTAAAATGAGTGAAACTTGTGGGTCTTGAAGAAAATCAATCTCTTCGACCTTGGGAACTGTCGCTACATGATCACAAACAAAGAACTGTACCAAATAACATAAACCCCATCAGTTTAGGACTTTCAACAGCAGCAACAGCTGAAATGGATATCACATAGCATAATCACAATGTTGACGTTCCACACCACTTCAAATAAAAGGTTAAGAAGGAAATCCCATCAACAGAGGAAAGAGCGATAACATCTACTGGACTTGGGAAGAGAAAATAATGACATAATCAAGATGGTGACGTTCCACACTACTTCAAAGAAAAGGTTAGGAAGGAAACTCCCATCAATACTGAAATGAACGATAATGACTACTGGACTTGAGATTAGAAAATAATGACATAATCAAGATGCAAAATTTTCACACTATTGGATTAAGAGAAAATAATGGCATAATCAAAATGTTAACGTTCCACACTACTTCAAAAGAAGGAAACCCCCATCAATACTGGAAAGAGTGATAACAGCTACTGGACTTGAATAACATGTTTCCTGAAAAATTGTTTTAAGGGAAAGATTTTATAAATTTCAACCAACAACAGCAGTATCTGTTTGGTCAATGAATCCCGAATGTTTTCTTATAGAGAAACGGCTAAAATAAACTTTACTATTCATCTTAGCTTCTGCACTGACGAGTTATCTGATGTTAAAATATCTAACGAGATGTTAGACGACAGGCTGAAGTGAACTCGAGCCAAAGAGTTGAGAAAAAATGGGAGCATAAGCAAAGGAGTTGAGAAAAAATGGGAGCGTACGCAAAGGAGTTGAGAAAAAATGGGAGCGTAAGCAAAGGAGCTGAGAAATAATGGGAGCGTAAGCAAAGGAGTTGAGAAAAATGGGAGCGTAAGCCAAGGAGTTGAGAAAACTGGGAGCGTAAGCAAAGGAGTTGAGAAAAATGGGACCGTAAGCCAAGGAGTTGAGAAAAATGGGAGCGTAAGCAAAGGAGTTGAGAAAAATGGGATCGTAAGCAAAGGAGTTGAGAAAACTGGGACCGTAAGCCAAGGAGTTGAGAAAAATGGGAGCGTAAGCAAAGGAGTTGAGAAAAATGGGATCGTAAGCAAAGGAGTTGAGAAAACTGGGACCGTAAGCCAAGGAGTTGAGAAAAATGGGAGCGTAAGCAAAGGAGTTGAGAAAAATGGGATCGTAAGCCAAGGAGTTGAGAAAAATGGGAGCGTAAGCAAAGCTTTTGGGCGAAATTATTAGCGTTGATAGAAATTAAAAACTTTCTATAAAATTTTATATTACAGTTTACTCATACCAGGCTAGAAATACACTCAAATTAGAGGATTATTGCTAAAATTTTATGATTAATGAGATGTGTGATGTATGTGGAAGTGGTAATCAAATTAAGATTTTGAGCCAAGATATATCAACATTATTGTCTGGACTAATCTGTCTCTTGTAAAGTTAAATCATGCCAGATGTCAGATACATCCGAGAGCGATAGAATGAACTGACCATTTTTTTAGTATATTTAGCAAAAGATCGTATATATGAATTCCAGCCGAGGTCTGAATTCAATAGATGTTCAAAGACTGGAACATCATTGTGCGTGCAATCAAGGTATTTAGAGAAAACTCAGGGTCTGAACTGTGTCAAGACCATTAGCTTTGCTAACGACCTAACAACAACAGAATAGGGTAGAGCAGTGATTATCAGGCAAGAGGCATTTTGTTCTCAGAAGAAGAATTTCATACGTAAGAGGAAGAATTTTATCTCGGTAAATAAAAAGGAAATTTTATTATTTATTCAAATCATGATTTCTATTTCATTTGATTGCAATTAGGAAAAAACAATGGTTTCTTAATTAGTAATATTAAAGAATAGCGGTGAAAAAAATTAATAGAAGGCAATTCTAAATGGTAACAGAACTGAGGAAAACTACGATCGTGAATAGGGGATAGAGGAAGGCTAGGAACGTAAGGAAAAGATTTAAGGGAAGCTGGGATCGAAAGAGAAGGAGTTGAGAAAAAAATGGGATCCTAAGCAAAGAAGTTGAGAAAAACTGGGATCCTAAGCAAAGGAGTTGAGAAAAACTGGAATCCTAAGCAAAGGAGTTGAGAAAAACTGGAATCCTAAGCAAAAGAGTCGAGGAATGCTGGGATCGGAAGGAAAAGTGTTTAGAAAAGCTAATTTAAACCTATCTGTAAAAGAAAAAAAAACAATTGACGAATAATTTTTTAGCATGTGAATTTCAGTCACGATACTAATAATATCTATAAAACTCTGTTTATGGTGGTAAGACTATTTTATTGTAAAGACCATCTAGGCTAGTGAAGAAGTGATGAATGTTCACTCACACACTTGCTTATAAGTCAATCGTAATAAGATTGTTATCATTAAGGCTCTTTTCCTTTTTGGTACGCTATACCTTAATTACAAGTAGAAATATTACAATCTTTTACTAACAACTAGTATAAGACAGAGGTAGTTAAACAGTATTTCTTATGTCCTGTAATTGTTGTTACATCGCTAGTGTATGAAATTTGTATTCAGATCAAGAAACTATTATGGGATGGAGATTATTAAAAATATTAATTCTGCCTCCGTAATTGTTGTTACATATTTAGTGTATATGTATTCAGATTGAGCAACTATTATGGGATAGAGGTTATTAAACCGTATTACTCTAGTGCCGTTATTATTGTTACATTTAGTGTATGAAGTATGCAACAACTATTATGGGACAGAGGTAACCTTCGTTTTCTTAATCTTTCACGAACAATAATACTTAGATCTCTTCACTACTTACAACAATTATATATTTTTCAAAATACAGATCTTATTACTATTGATCGTTTGAAAACGTTAACGGAATAAATGTTGGACAATATCCTCAAAGATGAAAAGGAGACTTGAGGTAAGAGATATTGTGTCCTACAGAAGGATGCAGAGGAAACTATGGACGGAGCATGCAAGCAACAATTCAGCAAAAAATTGAAAGGAAATGGGCACTTTTAATTAGAACCAGGAAGAGGATGCTGTAATTTCTCAGAGACATAATGAAGAAAGGAGATTTGCAGAATTTGACAATCGGAGGATATACTGAAGGCAAGAAGTGAGGTAAACATCGAGAAACTTACCTAACGAGTTTGCGTAAATGGACGAGAGAACAGAGACGTGGAAGGATAATACAAAGACACACTGCTAAGAGTTACGAAGGATATGAAGTTATAGAGAGTCATGGCCTGAAGGGACATTTTTCTATTGAGTCTCCTAGTCAGTTTTCGCTATATATCTGAGTGTATGTGTGTTTATTCGGCACAAAAACCTCTCGTAAAAGGGATCAAAGTATAGTTCACACACACACACACACATATATATATAAGTGAACATAGAAGTCAACACTTAGAGGCGACAGTCTGTTCATGCTAGACGCAATCGTGGCCTGAAACAGACTGTTGCCTCTAAATGTTGACTTCAATGTTCACTTTAATATTTGCACACGCTCTATCTCTGATACTGAGCACTTTATCCCATAAATATAGGTTGGACACCTATAACTATCCATATTATATATATATATATATATATATAGAGAGAGAAAGTTAACGTGTGTATTGAACTATACTTTGATCCCTTTTACGATAGGTTTTGTTCGAATAAACACACATACTCATATATATATATATATATATATATATATATATTAGGGGAAATAAATATGACAAAATGGAAAACGTTTTTCCTGTGACGCGTTTCGTCCTTTAGGACTAAATCGGACTAAGTTTATGTCTATGTTAATGCAACTACACACACGCGCACGAACGAAAAAGACACTGAAAATTTTAAATTAAAAAAATTATTTTTCTTTTAATATGTGTTTTGGGCATATAATCTAACCGATTTCATTTATTTTTTTTTGTATATATTTTCATCATTTTGGGATATTTCACATTGTAATAATAGATCTGCCACGAATGGTGAAACGTTTTAAGGACCTGGACGCAAATTTACTGTGGATAATCTAGCGATAAGAGCACTTTCTAAACATTTTCGCCTTAGTAAATTGCTTTCTTTTTTTTTTAATTACAGTAGCATTTCTTGATTTAAAATTGTGGTCTGTCTCGTTACTGTAATCAACTAATACAACTTGAAGGCAGAATTTACTCCATTACTTGTAATAATTGCCACAAGGAATACATCGGAGAAACTTCAAGGAATTTAAATAAAAGATTATATGAAAACTAAAGGGATATTTTACAAAGCAACACATCAAATGTTGTTCCCCGTAATGATACTGACCAGAAGACAAAGACAAAAATGTATAGAAAGTGTTTTTAATCGTTAGGTCACCCACAGCAAATTTGCGGCCAGGTTCTTACGCTTCACCTTTCAACGTCGGGGTATTTAATAACAAAATCGATGGAAACAAACCAGAAGAAAAAGAACCTGAATGAAATCAACCAGTTTGTCCTAAAGGCTTTCGCCTAATTCATTAGACATTTCCAAGGGGTTCGTTGTTAATGGTTTATGTCCTAACTTGCATTGCGTGGAAATAGTAAAAGTTCTATGTCGTGCAAGAGAAATGTGGTTGTGATTCCATGTTGGGGTGTTTTTTAAAAACCTAGTTACCACATCATCAAAGAGTTGGTCGGACATGATTTAGTTCATCTTGGATATTCTTTTTAGACTTGTCAGCTGAAAAAGACAATTTCATGGAGCCATTCTCTTCTATAAAGTGATTCTTGAGTTTCATTTGAAACCTTTTTTTTCCACAGCTGTAAAACTCAACAAGCTTACTATATTCGGCTGTCACTTTTGAAACTAATAATTTTGACATTGTTCAGTTTTTAAATCTTGTCTTGCAGAACAATAAATTATCTATCTATCTACTAGTTTCTATGTCCAAATTTATACCTACCTTAGCTAGTTCGTATCTATCTAATTCCTCCCTGATCTCTACCCATGAGTGTTTCATTGTCCTTCTAATTATCGAGAGGATTGTGAACAGATGAAATTTAAAACAATAATAACGGGTAAGCATATTAGTTTACCTCATTATTCTTTCAGCTTCCAAAAATACTTTTACAATTCTCAAGTGATCAGTAACAGAACAAAACGAAACGTACATACCCCTCCTCTCTCCCACGTGTCTGTCTGTGTGCACGAAAAATAGCACCTGCTTTGACAAACACCACAATAAAAGATTTGTGCTATAATACACATCAGTTTTTTTTAAATTATAATAATTCTTTTTTAATCATTTAACCCACCAAGCAAGGCGATAAAGCCACTAAGGCGCATATAATATTAATATTAGAAAGTGAAAAAAGTCTGAGAAAAATTGATTAAGGGAAGAGGACAATAAAAGAAAAAAATTCAAGCAGATAGATGACTGCGACAGACATTGCATTTAAATAAAAGAACAGTAATGAAGAAAACAAAAGATAACGATTAACATTGGATTTAAATTTTTGAAGACTAAAGTTGACAGCAAAGCAACAAGCCGGAAGAGAGTTCCACAAGCGTGAAGTGCGAGTGAAGAAGCCGTTAGGATAAAGTTTATGGTTTAATCGAGCAGTTTTAACTCTGAAATGATGAGACCTACTTGCCAATCTAGTACTGCGCTTAAATTCGTAAAGTCGAGATACCAAAGAGGAAAACTCATCAAAACAATTACCATGACAGTATTTATAGAAAAGGCACGGGGGTGTCTACATTATGGCGATGGGAAAGTGACTAAAGCCGAGATTCCAGGTCAGGACCTATAATATTGAAGATTCAACTTTGTATTTTGTCAAGAATCTCTAGATACATAGAAGAACCAGGCCAAGTGTGACAGGACTATCGAATGCAAGGACGAATGATGGACTTATAAAATGCGTAAGATAGATTCTGACGAGAAAAATGTCTAGTACGATACAGTAAAACAACTTTATTTTTAGGCAGACGTAGCAATTCTTTCAATATGTTCGTTACATCTTACTTATTATAAAACGCAGATTGTGTGTGTGTGTGTGTGTGTGTGTGTGTGTGTGTGTCTGTCTGTCTGTCTGTCTGTACGTTTATATATTGGATCGGATTTCCTACATTTTTCAACAGGACTTCGTAAAATTACCTTGCGGTGGTTCTGACAGCACCAAAAAAAAAAAAAACAAAAAACAAAAAAACACGATTAAGAGGCATTAATGAAAGGGGCAACTCATATCGAGTTATACTTATTAATATCAATTTATACTTATAAAACCAGGTTGGTTTGTGTGTGTGTGTGTGTGTGTGTGTGTGTTCGTTTATATATGGGATCAGTTTCCTCCATTTTCAACCGATTTCAACAAAAACTTCACTTTTTGGCAGGTAGTGTTTTCTTGTCTTGCACACCTTTTCTTTATTTTTACATTCAGAATGTTTTAAAAATTCCATTTACAAGACAATTGTTTATAATAAAATTCTATTCAATCGGTAGACTCATAACGATTGAAAACAATGTTTTTGTTTGAATTTGGGTTTGACCAATTCGTAAAAAAAAAAAACACTAATTAAGACATGCGTGTCAGTCAACCTTAAACAATAATCTTTGTCGATTTTATTTTTCAGTCTTTATGATGGTCGATACTTGATCTATCTCTTACTGTTACATCCCCGGGCAACGCCGGGCTCTACTGCTAGTTCTTATTATATGAGAAACACATGTAATTAATTTAAAAATATTTACAATTCCTTTTCTTCTTTTAACACGTAAATCCATGATTGTTTTTTGAAATGTAAGTCAAGATTGTCTCCCGAAGTTTAACAAAGTTTTGTATTACAGTATTTGGAAATATCAGAAATAAAAACACAATAAACCATAAAATTGTAATAACAATTAATTTCGTATTTGTTCCAAATATAATTACAACTTAATTAAAATCCATTTAACTGAATCGATGAAACCGGTTGTTCTATTCTATGTTAAGCATTTCCAAAATTTTGTTTGACACTAGGTCGAAAGTGTGAAGCATTCGAGTAATAATAGTCAAAGGAAATCAATTTACTAGCAACTACTCTATAGTGAATTTTCCTGTGGACTTTAAGGAAACTAAGCTATGTTATTATCCACAGGTGCCTGATAGAAAGCCGTGATAAGAAAAAAAAATTCATTTCGTAAATTGTTGTTTTATTGGGTGCTTCAGGTTAAAAGTACAGTGTTATACTAAGATTCTATTTAAGAGATGAAGCAAGTATTAACTTTCATCTTCATCTTTTAT